GTTGTGCTCCTCCTTTTCCTGAATCTCTGGAAAACAAGTGCAAAGTTAGTATAACCAACAGAAAACCAAACACACCCTCGCAAACTGTCAGTCTATTTAATTTCCCATCTCTTCCTCCAACATGTCAATGCACCATGTCAGTGATTGCTGTTTCAACCCCTCCACCTACACCAACATCCAGCTGCCAATTACAGTATGCTGCAGATTTTCAGGAGCCTATCACAGTAGACTTAGGGTGAGAGGTGGTGTACACCTGGACAGGAGGCCAGAACATCATGGTGCCAACACAGAGAGACAGATAACTGTTCACACTCATATGCATACCTACAGCCAATTTGGAATCATCAGTTAACCTACCAAGCACATCTATGTACAGTCAGGAGAGATTTACGCAAGGAGGGGGGGTTAAATTGCTGACATAAAGGTCCCAGCTGAACTCAAATCCAGGATCAATTTTATATAGTATACAGAACCGCAAACAATACCCTTTATAATGTAAGATAAAAAGCCTCAGAGCCGACACATGCCCCCTTGAGGCCCATATGGAGGCCCAAAAGGACAGCAGCTATGGGGCCCACGTGTTTTCTTTGGACAAGCCCATAGTGGGTATGTCTATAGAAAACCCAAAGGGGCTAAACTGCTGTCGACTCTGTGTATGTGCACTCATTTGAGGATCACGGGAGATAAACGTGGGTTTGTCCTGCCCACACTGCTGCAGTCTGTGGATTTTACAGACTGTGTGGAGAGTGAAACTGAGGATCCAGATGCAGATGTGTGGAGGCAGTTAGAATTAAACAGAAAACCCCCCACCTTTATTGGCAGATAAATATTATGCAAAATCCATAAACAAAGAAAAAAAAGGACACATAACTGTCAAAATAAAGCAGGAAGTGAAATCTAAATAGCAGCATGCAGAAACAAATTAACGTAATACTGGGAAACTAACAGGAGAGGATGGAACAAATACACCGACAGTAACTAAACTGTAATACAACCAGAAACTAAGAATGAGACTAAACACTCTAAAGAAAACACATGAAGAAAATTTAAACAAAAAGCAAACTCAGAAACAAGCAGAATACTTAAATAAACAAAACTTGAAAGCCCCCAAAACTCAAAAACACTGGGTCAGTGACCCCGGACGAGGCCATGCAGGGGCTCATTTACCCATGGTGGGCCAACACGGGCACGTTTATGGGGAACAACCAGACAGTTGCCTGTGAGGAGGGTTTTATGACGGGTAACCATCTGCTGAGAGAAAAAACGAGAGCACAGAGAGATGGGTATAAAACACCTGCAGGATGCTATGTAGTAAAGCTGTTTCAGGTCTGTGCTGCATGTGTCAGCTGTTGGCTCTAGAGCACTGTGATGTGAACCAACAGATTCTAGAAAGATTTTACATCCAGAAAAAATCTGTGAATACAGGCTAGCATTGAAATATGGTCACTCGTGTCTCCAAAAACAAGACGATGGTGGCCAGAATGTTAAAGCTGAAGTTTCCAAAACCAACATTACCGTGTCCATCCTTTATGTACAGTCTGTGGGTGTAATGTGGTTGTCTCTGTGTTTTTCAGCACTACATCGAAGCCAAGGACTGGTGGTTTTTTGGTTTCTACTTCTGCATCCCTCTGGCCTGCTCAGCCATTTTCTACAGCCTCATGACCTGCGAGATGATCCAACACGAGAAAGAAAGTCTGAAGATCTCGCTGACCGAGCACCTCAAGCAGGTGATCACCAACACTGAAAAAAAAGGCTGTTTATCTTTAACACACAAACAAGCTTCTTATGCAAAGTCCTCTCTGCAGCGGAGAGAAGTCGCTAAGGTCGTGTTCTGCCTGGTGTTGATCTTCGCCTTGTGCTGGTTTCCTCTCCATCTGGGTCGCCTGCTGAAGAAGATCATCTATGATCGAGACCTCAGTGAGCAGCGATGTGAACTCCTGAAGTAGGCCAACCATCATGCACTGCTGGGAAAACAAAGCTTTTTCTGTTTGTTTTTTTCTGGCTGTTTACACGTGTCTACATTTTCTAGTTTCCTGCTGGTCCTCGACTACATCGGCATCAACATGGCCACCATCAACTCCTGCATCAATCCCATAATCCTCTTCTTTGTGTCCAAGAAGTTCAAAAACTGCTTCAAGGTAAACACTGAACATGGCTGCGCTGTGTGAGAGCGAGTTTTTAATCTAGACTGCCAAGAATCTGCTTGTTTCTGTGCCAGCGTAGCATCGCAGCAAGGTCACGGGGTCAAAGGGCGTGAGATAGATATAACAGAGAAACAGAAACTTATCAGATGCTCCCAGAATGGAATTATCTAGAGGACAGAATGAGAGGGGAGATGTATAAACATGGAAAGGTCGTGACCTTTGATAGGAGACTTATGGGAAGTTAGTTCTGTAGGGTTAAAGAGGCACTCCACCGAATTAGCACATAAAGAGGTGTGAGTGAGGTCATGTTAACAATCCATTAAATTTTAGCTCACATCCACCAACACCTTCAAGGTCAACTCAACGAATTAATGGTTGAATTAAAGCCTTAACTTAAGAACTATGATCCCTACACGTGTGGTGTGTATGCAAAACATACAGGAGAAAATACCCTATAAAGACTTAAAATATCATGCCACATTTGACCACTGACCTCCTCTTCAAGGTCAATAGATTGATCTGAAGGTCAAGCTGATGATAATGCTATATCAGGATACTAAAGGTGCTGAGGTGGTTCTCTGCTCTTTCAACAATGTGTCTCCTGTGAGTCGCTGAAAGAGGTACGCCTTTAACCTGACTCCCCTCTGTCTGTCTGTCTGTCTCTCTGCAGTCCTGTCTGTGCTGCTGGTGTTACTCTGGCTCTCTCTCTAACAGCATGCTGCCTCTCCACCACGGGACGAGCCTGCAGTACAAACACACTGACCACTGAGCGAGCAGGACACTCGCCTGCATCTGCAGCTCTGAGCGCTGAACCAGCAGCCACACAGAGACACTGACTGTGTGTGAAATACAGCGCAGAGTACACCAGCGCTTTCATGTGTAGTCTTTACCTTTATTAGTGCATTTATTCAATTCTGTATTATATTATGTGTATTATATGTGATATAGTTATACTATGTGTCAGACCTTATAGCTGCAGTGTAGTGACGTTTAAATGTTTAGTGACAAGTTCGAGTTCCTTCGAAAAAAAGAAAAGAAAAGGTTTTCCTCAAACCCTGAGCTCCGAATTCAACCTCATCCAACATCTTTGGGATGAATTGGAAAGCCAAATGAGCCGGACCTCATCACCCACGGTCTGTGTTGGGCCTCTTGTGGCTAAACAAAGTATTACATTAATTATGATAACGTAAATAATGTGTTTTTGTGCCCTTTAACTTTTACTGCAGATAAGCTGTTAAATGACAGCAAATCTTTGTTTTTACTAAAGAAAAGAAAATTAACAAAATCTTATTTTATCAGATCAATTTGAAATAGCAATATTTTTTCATGATAGAAAAACCATCTAAAACAAGAGAGAATTTCTTGTTTTATTTTCATACTTGATAAAAAAAAAATCTTGTTTTGATATTTTTTTCTGTGGATTTTGAAGTGTGTCCACAAAAACAGTGCATTGTCCCTGAATTAACAGAAACGTTTCATTTTTCTAGATCTTAGATGTGTCTGAGTTGCACGCAGCCATTTTTTCTTTTTTCTTTTATGCATCCTATTTATTGTTGTTTAAATATGTAAAATAATATTCAGTTAGTGCAAACAGAAACAATTGTGATGTCAAATGGTACAATAGCGTCCTCTAGAGGCTGAAATTTTGCATCACATTGCACAAAATCAAACGTCACACGTGATGGTAAATGCAAACGTCAGGGTCTTTCTGCTTTCGCAGCTGAAGCTGAAATTTAAATGAAGTGTGTGTGTGCTGTGGAGACCAACGATCTGACTTCCGCCAAAGTCTCTAAACATGTCAGCACATGGACTGAAGTTACTTGTGTTGAACTATTCATCTGTTTTATATCTATACTTGCTGTGACTTGTTTAATAAGTATTACACGTGTTTGTTAATAAAAGTATATTCTCCACATGCTCATGAAGCTCTGCTTTGGTTTTTATATGTGTGTGTGTGAGTGCACTGCAGTTAAGAGCTTCTATAAATGCACTCAGTCCTTTGGTTTCCAGATAGGGCTTTCAGAGGGACATGCATCATGCTGTCAGCTCTGTGAGGCTCTGTGAGGCAATTTTATTTTACATATTTCAGATTATATATTGGAATTTTACAAAAATATTTAATCTGACTCTCATACATTTTCTTTGTCTCATAACTTTATTGCTTTCAGATACTTTTATTATTTTACTCTGCTACTTTGTAACCTAGTTTTTAATTTCATAATATGTCTCATAGTTTGAATTAGTTGATTCATCATTCTGACTTTTAATCTCATAATTGTAATTTAGCATTTTGATTTTTTTCTGCATTATTACTAATAACGTTTACAATATTGTTTAAGTCTAAAAATATTTTAAGAAATATTTTTTTATTGGCGTCAACGAGCTTCCATACATTACGAAAAACATGTCCTTGAGCAGAGGTAATTTAATTTGAAAGTTCACGCCCTGTTTGTGGCGCTTTTCCGCTGACCACGTGACTGACGGACAGCGGGGATCTGGGTGAGGTCCCAGCCTATGACGTGGGCGCGTAAACACGGGAAAGGGCGAACACGGACATCGGTGTGTGTGGTCGATCGATCCGGATCAGTCCGGTGGTCTGACAGTGATCTGGGGTCTACTGAAAACATCAAAGGGGATCAGCTGGGCTTCATTTTGCAGCGTGTGGTTGGGCGGAGGAAGGATGCGTTGCCTGGTAACAGAGAACGGAGTGAGGATGAAAGCAGGCCAACCGTCGCTCTGAGTGAACGTCTTCCGCCGTAACGGTCCACATTTTCTTCTTTTAACAGTTCGGTTTAAATCTATTGTATCGAACCAGCAGCTTTTTAACTGATCAGCGGATAAAGGTGGTGATGCCTGAAGAATACACCGTGTACTGATCTCATTACACGCTGAGCATTTAAGATTTTTACGACATTTTAAAGCTGTAATACGCCTTTAAGAGGCTACATGAGGGATGCTTTAACCCCAACGGTCGTTTTAACACGTTTAAGGCTAATATACCTAATTAATATGGATGGATACAGTGGTGGTCCCTAAAGCCCTTAAGATATTAAACTTATGTGTTTTTTGGTATAATAGGGATCACATAGTGCACTGTTTACCAAAATATTACCCACAGATTTCAGTTTATTTGAGTTTTAGTGCTATAAATCAGTCTAACTTCAAGAGTAGGACCCATAAATATATTACTTTTTACTTATTTAAACATAAGCTAGATTTTTTTAAATGTATTCTATCAGTTCTAATTTGGCAAAATACAAACTTTGTATGCAGTTAGTGGAGATTTTAAGTCCAAGGTTGCGTTTTACAAAGTTTTATTGATATTTTATTGGCTTTTACTGACAGAATAAATAAATATAAGGCAGTTTTCTCCGCTCAGCACTAGTGTCATACTTTAGTTTGTTTATGGGCTAATTAACAGGTGTTTTAAATACTAAAAACTCCAATTTGAAAGATTGTGTGGAGGGTTTTTCACAGAGATATTCTCCAGAAATGTCTGTTTATCTGGATAGAATCAGTGCCAGCTTGCAGAGTGTTAAGTTGTTAAGTAAGCACAAGTCAAATTACACATCCTTTTGTCATTATTAATCCAGACAAATGCCATCATAAACTAAATCTGTGCTCTTTTTGTGCAGTTTGCTAAGACTTTTATGCAATCATTTGCTCAAAATTGTGATTTTCAGGTCAAATAAAGAGTGTGTAATGAAATGAACGGTTTAATTACACATGCTGCAGCAATTTTAATTGTCCGCCTTAACAACCTGCCTGTGGTCTGTGGTTTAGGATGCGTGCCTGTAGTCTGCGTTGAGGGTGAAGCTGCCGTCATGCCGTGTACATGTGCAGAGTGGAGGAGGTGGATCCGCCCGCTGGTTCTGGTGCTTTATGCCCTCCTGCTGGTTGCTGTTCTGCCGCTCTGCATCTGGGAGCTGCAGAAGGACAAAGTACTGACACCTCCACCTGTGCTCATCTGTGGACCAAACATAGTCGCATGATCTCGTAGCCCCCTGTTCATGCTGTAATAAGCAGACTGTATATAAAAGATGGACTCATCTTTAGTAGTTTATCTGTTTTTTATCTTTAATGTATAAAAAGGGTGGAGTTTTATTTATGCAGTGTTCTCACTGCACAAAAAAACACAACAGTCTTGCAGTGACTAACTGTGATGTTGCAGGAAGGATGTTGGATACACTTTAAAGCCTGTGGTCTGTGTCTGCGTGCAGGTCGGCACTCACAGTAAAGCCTGGTTCATCGCTGGCGTCTTTGTGTTTCTGACCATCCCGATCTCGCTGTGGGGGATCCTGCAGCACATGGTGCACTACACACAGCCTGAGCTGCAGAAGCCCATCATCAGGTAAACACACACACACGCACTTCAGTTCTGTCTTCAAACACTCTAAATGTCTCCACAGATACACTGAAGCAGGTCTGACAGAGTCTGACTTTAGGACTGTTGTATTTGACGTCAGCAACGAGGCGTCAGGTGTAAAAATGAAATAAGCTGCAGATTTCAAGCTGGATGCTGAAGTTGAAGGAAAAAGCACAAAGTGGGTATTTTGTGCCTAAAAGCCTACTCTTGTTGGTAGCTATTAAATTTAATCTAATTTGAAAAGTCTAAAATTAGCTTCAGCAGTGAAGCTCTGAGGATGTTTTCCTCCATCTGTTATGCTGGGAACACTTCAGAAAGGCCAATGTGAGCAGCAGGGATGATTACAGCAAGATAAACCTGCCTCAGCATTTGATTTTTAATTAAAACAAACTTGGAACATTTATGAGTCTGCCTTTCAAAATAAAAGTCTAAATCCAAATGTATCAGTAGATGTGAAATTGTTAGAATTACTTACTCCACACTATATTAAGATTTTTTTAGTCAAACAGGAGTTTGAAAAAAAATGATAAGAACAACTCTGAGCAGAGCTGCTGGTCTCCAGAGCTTGCAGTGGTTGGACTATGTGGCATAACTTACACAGACTGTATATAAACGTTGGATGTAGCCACTTTGACTTCACCCACTATTTTTTAATCTCTTGTTCTGAAGCGTTAACTTTAGCATTATGGTTGTTGCCATGTTGTTTTTGGGACTATAAGTGGCTGTGTGATGTTTAGTGGAGTGCTAACTTATGAGCTAAAGTTAGCTTGCTCTGTCTCTTTTCAACAGGATACTGTGGATGGTGCCGATCTACAGTTTGGACAGTGTGAGTCATTGTTACACACAAACGAACACAGACATCCAGCGACACAGACCCTTCAGTATTTTCTTCCTTTGCCGTGTTTATAACTCTTTTACACTTAATGAAATTCATCAAATTCTTTCCCTCATGTGACCTTTATGATTTCTGCTTGTTGAACGTCTTTCAGTGGCTGGCCCTGCGATATCCCAACCTGGCCATCTACGTGGACACGTGCAGGGAGTGCTACGAGGCCTACGTCATTTACAACTTCCTGGTTTTCCTGCTGAACTTCCTGAGTAACCAGTACCCCAGCCTGGTGTTAATGCTGGAGGTCCAGCAGCAGCAGCCACATCTGCCCCCGCTGTGCTGCTGCCCACCATGGCCCATGGGAGAGTAAGAAGAGGGAGGTCACAGAGAGGGAGTTCAAAGTGTGTGATGAATGGATGCATGTTAAGTTTTTTCTCTCTCTGTCAGGGTGCTGCTGTTCAGGTGTAAGCTGGGAGTCCTGCAGTACACTGTGGTCAGACCAGTTACCACAGTGATAGCGCTGTGAGTTTTGTGCTATAACTGTAATGTTTTATAGCCTAATGTTTGTAACTGTAGCAGTAATACTTGATGTTGATTCCAGCTATTGGCTGTAGTCTTTCTGTTAGCTGTTGAAATATATCTATTTTTTCCAACATGATTAGTAATGCAGGATGAAACCTCTCCTTGTGTTTAGTGTGATAATTCAATCACTGCTAACCTACTTAGAGCAGCCGTGGCCCATTTTATCACCTAAAACTCTCCTGTGGTCCAAACAGACTTTTACTCAGAGCTGTGCTCATCACATGAGCCTAACAGGAAGTATTTTCTTTACTGCGTTTTCACTGATCTTCTGCTTGTTAAGGCTGTACAGAATCCTGCTGTTAGCAACCATGACATTTTTATTCAAACCTCATTCAACAGTTTTGATTTATAAGTGAAACAAAATGTTTTCATTATATATTATTTTATAAACATCACTGTCTTGATATTTTTACTTGAACTAGAAAATAATGTTCAAAATCAGTAATATTTCAAAAAAAACAGAATGAAAATCACCTCTGACTTGACTGAAAATGAAAATAAAAGCCGTTTTTTCTACTGTAAAAATTTACAGTAACTTGTTTTTCCCACGTATGTATTCACAGCGATATCCACATGGAACAGTAGACTACTGTACACCATTTTCTTTATTTTTCTACCTCAGTTTGGGAAAGTGTAGATGTTTTTATATGTTTTGTAATCTGAGAGCAAACTGAAAAAACAGTGAAGTTTGTGACCTGCTAAAGTGACTGATTGCTTTTGTGTGCAGCATCTGTCAGCTCTGTGGGGTTTATGATGAAGCAAACTTCAGCTTCAGAAACGCCTGGTCCTACCTGGTCATAATCAACAACATATCACAGCTGGTAAAGACTCAGCGTCATCATCACAGAGCAGCAGTTTCGCATTCCCAGTGTGTCAAATACACCTGTTTCTGGTTGTTAGCACACCTGGTTACATCTGGATTATTGTGGGGTTTTTTGTATTTGAACATCTGGTATGAGACTGCATTACATCAGAGCATGTAGTACAAACATTAGCCCCCAGCCCGAAACTTACCTGAACCCTGTTTAACCTTTACACAGTTTTTTTTAAGCCAGTATCCTTCAGAAAAAGTGAAAACTGATCGCTGAGGCTTTTTTTTTTTAGGTTATCTCAGTTAATACTAAATTTAAAATCTATGATTTCTGTGAACAAGAGATCAAGTAAAATTCCAAAATTATATTTTTGTTTCTTTCTCTGCAGTTTGCCATGTATTGTCTGGTGTTGCTCTATCGAGCTCTCAGGGAGGAGCTGATGCCCATCAGGCCTGTGGGGAAGTTCCTCTGTGTCAAACTGGTCGTGTTCGTCTCCTTCTGGTAAGAATGGGAGTGTGATTGTAATAGCTTTGGGTTTTGAGCCGTTTCATTTTTCCCTTTAAACAGATGCAGTGCTGATACATTCATTTTGTCTCCAGGCAGGCGGTTTTAATAGCACTGCTGGTGAAGGTTGGTGTGATCTCTGACAAACACACCTGGGACTGGGACAGCGTGGAGGCCGTGGCTACTGGTCTGCAGGTACAGATCATACTGCTGCATCAGTCAGCTGACCTTTGATTTATTTGTCTTCATGTTTAGATAACAGGTGAGATTTCCTGGACTTTTAGCAGAGATTAAAATTTAGCAACGTTCAGCTTTCTGTACAGATTAGAAGACAAATGAACTAAAAACAGTAAAAGCGATGAAAATAAATGCCACAGTGTTCAGATAAAGCATGAAAACTGAGTAGCAGAATAAAAAGAGGACTTTAATGACACTTGCTGATGGGTGCTGCAGAAAAACTGGCAAAAAACCGACAATAGCCCAAACATCAAGGAGTTGAACTAAAAATGCAAAAAATGAAGTATCACACCAAAAACAGAAGCAAAGTCACAAAATAATATGGAGAATTAGGTGAAATGAAGTACTGTAAACATCATTAGTGTGATATTAGGATCACACTCAGCAGCAGTGCAGGGTTTCCTAAGGAACTTTGTGAAAACAGTAAGGTACACTGAAAACTTTGAGGGTCCAGGAAGAAGAAGAAGAAGAAGACTGAGCAGCAGGGAGGGATTTAAACAGGTACATCCTCGAAATATGACAGAAAAGCTGCCTGATATCAGACAGAACTCTGACTCTCACATCTGGAATCAAACCAACACAAAAGATGATGGAAAAGTAAACCATTCAGTACAAATTTGTATATATTTCTGGTCTTTCTGCATGAATTGATGGAACAGCTAAAACGAAACAGGATGAAACATCAGAAAAACTGACTTCTTAAGGTGAAATGACTGCAAGAGGCACACAAAAACACAAGGCACAAAATAATGAAATAAATTTTTTTTTAAAACAGTTAAACACATTTTACGCTGCTGTTTCTATTCTGAAAGATAACTGAGTTTTTACTCATATAGGACTTCATCATCTGCATCGAGATGTTTCTGGCTGCCATCGCTCACCACTATACCTTCACCTACAAGCCCTATGTACAGGTAACCTTATCTATCTATCTATCTATCTATCTATCTATCTATCTATCTATCTATCTATCTATCTATCTATCTATCTATCTATCTATCTATCTATCTATCTAT